CAGACCTTGAACGAAAGAGAGTTTCTGAAAGAAATGCACGATTGAAAATTGAAAATAATCCGAGTTGGAAATGAAATATTCGCCGCGTTCTACCGAACGAGCAAGCGGCAGCTCCGGATATTCAAGGATATTCCGGCCGTTTTACGGGGGTGTACGAAGCGTATCCAATTTGATGGCATTACAATAACGGGGGTAATGTCTGAGAATAATGAAATTTCCCTCAATCACCGCGACCCGCTTGGAATACGTTCCTCTACCCTGCTACCGCCGTCCAACCCCCGTTTTCATCCCCCCTCTTCCTCCTGCCACTGAACTGAACTACGAGCTTCCAACACGAAGCAGAGCTCGAGGACAACGAAACGAAAGGAAAGGAAAGGAAAGGAAAGGATACAACGAAAAGAAGGAAACGTGCAGACGGTTCAGAACGATAGCGGCGTTAGCGAATCGATTTCGTTCGCGTGTTATTTCGCTCCTTATCGAGGCAGAAAACGAAGAGTGCTCGCGCGCCGTTTTCATTCCCAGTGTCGCGCGTCGACGCTTCCAGTTCCGGTTTCTTGATTCGCCGCGCGATTCCGCTCCGTTCCCGCTCGGCAGAAAGGCGAAAAATTCGGATCGAAGAAATTTCACGATGCGTTCGTTGTTGCTCTGTAGGTGATTTTCGTATTGACGCGATATTAAACGATCCAGTGACCCTAAGTTCTCACGTCAAACACACACCCATGAACACAGGCCCATAAACCGTGTTTCTACCAAACAGATTTACACAAGCTAGTCTGAACGAAACACCAAGAATTCCATTCCACTGTGTTGGCAAATCACGAAACACTGACACTCGGAGAAATTAAAACGAGCAGTCAATTAACCTAAACGGGGGCGGCGTAAGTTCCAGCGGAAAAGCTCGTGTTCCGACACGGGGCGGGATGATCGCGGAATTTAGCGCTTTAACAAATTACGCGGATGGAGGGTCGAATAGAACGAAAGAGAGAAAGAGGGAGGGAGCGGGAGAGAGAGAGAGAGAGAGAGAGAGAGAGAAGGAGAGAATGAAACAACCTCCAGGGCGAAGGAGGATCAAAGCCCTGGCGTACAAAGTATAATCCCGGCCGCGTTTGAGCATCCTGTAAGCGCTTCTGAACTTGTTGTGGCCAAGATTAACGTTTCTTTAATGGCCCGTGTAATATTCCATTATGTACAGTTCGCTCGAGAATTATTGCGTCGACGTCGTCGCGCTGCAAGGGGTTGCAAGGAAAAGAGGTGGAGTTGGTAGATCGAGCGGATCGAGAAATAAAAGGAAATTCGCGATAGAAGCAATTTCTCTTCTCTCTCGCGACCAGTTCCGACCACGAGCACGATGATTCAGTTTGATCCAGATTTCCTTCTTTCTCTCTCTCTCTCTCTCCTTGCAATTTCTTCAGATTTTCAAAAGTCTCGCATATGGATCCTGGAATCTGCTATTAAAAAGAAAGAAAGAAAATTTCGAAAAACTTTCACCAATAATATTCAACGATAAGTAATAATTTTAATCTTGCATTCTAGGAAAACTAGCTGTTGCCACTGCGAAAGTAAAGAGTCGCCGTTGAATCGTTTCCTCGAATCTCTGTGTATCTCGCTTCCAATACTTTCCTCGCAACTTTACGGGGAAAGAGGGGGTGATGAAAAAAGCTCAGAGCCTGTGTCTCGGTATTATCCCCTTCTCTTCAGGAGAATTCCTGCTCGAGCATCTTGCCGGGTATATACGTACACCTCGGAGCTATTACCAAGGCGCGATGGGAAGAAAGACGAAGAAGAAAGAACAGTGAGAAGGGGTGGAAGAGAAGGAGGGAAGGGCGGCGAGAGGAAAAGAGAATTTAGCGACCCTCTTTCGTTTTTTACCCTGAGCAAGAGCCCCTTAGCCACCGTTTATTGGACGCATGCAAATATCCATGGCAACGAGGGACCACCATGAGAAGCAGCAACCCTGCTCCCCCCCTCCCCCTCCCCCGTCGCGAGCTTTCTACGTATTAGTGGGTGGAGTGCGAGTCTTGGAGATATCACGGAGAAAAAGAGAGAGGACCTCCGGAGGGAAAGATTTCCTTTTGATCCGCTGCGCTATTCCTACCACCGCCAGCGATTTCTTAATTGATTCCTTTGTCCCGTGAAATCCAGCCGTTCGCGCTGCCCGTCGATTTTAAGAATGTTTGGCAGAGAATTCCTCCGGCTTTTGTCTCCCTCTTGAAAAATATTTCTCGATGAAATGCCTGTGTAAACAGAGCATATATATATATATATATATAATATATTTTTGTCGTTCCAGCTTCTCGTGTCTAACAGCTCAATAAGATTATCATCTCGTCCCTGATGATAGGTAGAAATGGGTCGACAACCATCGAATTTATCGTCGTTTATCTCTGTTTACACAGGCATTTCATCGGTTGGCATAAACACATCCTTATATAGTCACCAGTCGCGGAAAACTGATTTCCATCCGTCCCCGCGGCCCACCCACTTCCCTCGACTCTCTATGCAAATGCGTTTCTGTTTTGCGCGCGTGTAGAAAGCCCCGTTGACAATACGCTTGCGCGCTTACGACCTCCACCCTCGACAAAAGTCGAGGCTCCATTACGCGTGTTTTGCCACATGCTTTATAAACTGTCGTCCTTGTTACATCGGACCCCCAAAGCTCCCCCTTTTTGCGCCCGTTTCATTTAATGTTCCGTTAACGCGAGCGCGTAAACCTCGCCGCTATAATGGCGGCTTTCCGATCCTCCGTCGAAAGATTTTGTCAAACTTTC